TTGATACTCTTTGGCTCAGGCATGTGGTAGGGCAGCCCCACAGAGGACTCTGTTGAGAAGGAGAATGAGCTGAGGTAGACCGCCACCCCAACACTTGACAGATGTGTAGACTGGCAGACTGAAAAGCCGCGATAAAGCTGCTCACTGACCTCGGACCAGCCTCTGGCTCTCACTGTGCAGGTGTTTGATAGCTTCTTTGCTGGCCAAAGCTGCTTTCCTCTCCTGCTAGATGAAGCAAAGGTGCATGAGTACAAGGCCGTAAACACCATGGTATAACCTGAAATTTCATCCTTGCAGGCTCTGTTGTACTGTTCAAAAATGGTCAAAATGAAGACGTACAAGGCAACAATACATTTATCTACAATAACAAATTACTAGGGTAAATTAAAAAAAAAAAAAAGTCAAAGAGGTCACCATGCCTTGCGTTGTGGTTTCTGTACCATCTCTTCCTCATCATCCTCTTCATACTCTAATGCTGACTATTGCAGGAGACACAGGAACAAACATACAGATTAAACATAAAACCACCAGGCAGAGCCTTGAAATTATGTCATGATCATACAGTCTACTGTGAAAATTTTGCACAAAACTTTTGTGCTGGGGAAGTCCAATTTATGGACCCTGTAAATCAATCAGGATGTCATCTGGCTAAACCACATTACAAAATAATCAGATATATGCCCCCCCCCCAGTAGAGTGTTACAATAGCCACCCATCGTTTATAGCGTTTTCATAGCTTTACTATCTTACTGTATACCAAGCATAGCAGTAGCACCAACATACTCATCGGTCAGGCCAAGCACATTTTGGACTAATCACTGGCCAGTAGAGCTGGGTGATATGGTCTAAAAATAAAATCTCAGATTTTTTCCACAATAAATCCGATATTCCCCTCCCCTACTCAAAATCAAACAACGACAAATAAATGGTTCAGAGCAACTTTTAACTTTTAGTTTTTTTTTTTTACTTTAGAGATAAAGTGCAATCTGACAAGCCAGAAAAGATGCTTGTGAGATGGCAAACCACGCCATTGTAAACACTTTTAGAAACTTGTAAAAACTTTTAGCATGTTAATGAATCCCGGCGTTTCCACAGTATGTATGGGCACCATGTCTTTTGCAATATACATCGCGACAGCGTTTGTTATCGCCTTCCACCGTGCCCCATTCTTATCATATGGCACACAGTTCGAAAACGTGTCAGGGACGGTTACTTGCTTAACTTTGGATGTTGTGCTGGTGCTGCAGGTATTTTCATTTCGCTGGGAGCTGCACTTCTCCCACTCCGCTGTGTGCCTCTGCTTTAGGTGCTGGAATAAATTTGTCGTGCTGCTTCCTTTGGTTGCAACAGTTTGTAAACAGACTTTGCAACGAGGACTTGTTTGGTCTGTGTCCGATAGCGCAAAACCGAACCATTGCCATGTTTGTGAATCCGCTACAGTGTTTGGGTGCGCCGCGCTAATGTACCCGTGAAGAACGTCGCATTAGCGCTTTTGGCGCTCGCGTGTAAAATAAGTAATAAAATCGATTTTCATAAAAACACATCGTCCTGAACTGTAAATTCGATTTGATCGATAAAATCGATTTTATCGCCCACCTCTATTGGCCAGTACTTTCAGTTTTTTGGTGTTACTGATAATGCATATTTTCAAATACATCTTTATGGCGACCTCCCACCTTGTGCTTTTTGACCTTCTGCTTTACTGACGCTACGATGGCATCAAGACCCTCCTCTTCCTCAGGCTCTGCCCCTTCCTCCAGACCAGTGTCAAACAGATCATTGTCTCCAAGGAGACAGCCACTATCATTGAGTGGAGGGGTCACAGGACTCCCCTGAAAACCAAACAGAGGGTCGCTAATTAGGTAACACCAAAATAACATCACACAGACATACAAATAAGTACAGATAAACAAACACGGACAGATAAGTAAACAGCATAGTGTCAGGATCAACAAGGCTGAATGACATCCCGAGGGGGCCAGTGATGACGATATTCAGGGAAGGAGTTACACCAGCACATCCTCCAATACCCCACTGCTCCCAAACACCCTCACCTGTGGCCTCTTGTTCTTCTTCACCCAATCCTTAGCCTTCTGAGACTTCTCCCTGCGTCGCTGGGATCTCTGCCTCTTATTCTCTCGTTTTCGCCCAGGTGTCTGACTCTCCGCCTCCGCCTCGCTCTCATCACTCTCCAGCAGTGGCCGGATGACCCTCTTGCCCTTCGAGGAGCCCAGCTTGGCCTTGATCGCAGCACCCCCAGCATCCTCCTCACTGGATTCTGACAGGATGAGCGCCTCTGCCAGGCCAGCCCCTCCCTCCTCCTCGTCACTGTCTCTGAGGGCTTTCCGAGAGCGAGGTTTCCGGTTCACTAGGATGTCATCCTCAGAATCTTGTACAAAAAAAAAGCAAAAGAATCAGGCAAACATCAAAACAATAAGGACAGCTACTACATAATACCCAACTTAAGGACGCTAGAATCACAATTTCAGTTAGCGGCACAGTAAATGTTTAATGACATGGTACTCAAATAACACGCAAGAATCGTATTCATACCCTCAGACCAGTTAAGCCAGACATCACCCCCTGCCAGTCCCAGGACTGACATTTCACTGTTTTTTCTCCCTGGACATGTTAAAAAACCCAGACACAGGCTGGATGCCCCCTGGTCTCAGTCATATTACCACTCATCTCCTTGACGACGCAGGGCTGCTGTGTTCCCTCCTCCTGTGGCGAGCCCATGCCACTATCTGAGTCACTGTCCACTGCCTGTGCAACTGCTGGCACCTTCTCCACCTGGGTGGAGGCCACAAAGGAAAGGTGAAAATGATTGTCATGTTTGCACACCACAGCAGGCAGTGCACAACAATGAAATGTGTCCTCTGCACTTAACCCAAATGTGACATAGCAGTGGGCAACTATTACTTAACGCCCGGAAAGCAGTGCTTTGGGGTGGTACCTTGCTCAGAGTACCTCAGTGGTACCCTGCTGGTCGGTTTGCTTAACTTGTAATTGTACAGATTACAATTATAGATGGCAAATTCAGAACTGAAGGATTCCTACGAAACACAGTGTCTTTCAATCGCTCTACAACTGACGGGACTTTGTAGCAATGTGTGCAACCTAAGGTATTGTAACCATATTCGTGCAGTCAATCGTCTCTCTCTCCGCCGTTATCTAGCCTAGAAAAAATATATACATACTGCTCTACGTCGATGTATATAGCGCAGCAAAAAATTCAACAAACCGGGCAAACAAAAAGCGCCCTTCAAAAATTACACAAGGAACAAATAATCTACACCTACCAACGCTTCCGTGGTCGTCCTGCTAAACAGAAGCTCATCACCACGAACGGAGAAAGACGTGGCACATTTAGAAGCGAATTAAATTTTCTTTAGCGTCGTAACAGGAGGGAAATATTTGCCATTCCATTTTAATCCGCACCCTCTCGTGTCACACAACCTTCCGATTCCTTCTTGAAATGCAAAATTAATAACAGTATCACCATAAAAGTGAATATCTGGGATAGTAAACCAGCGGCAATGGCCTATCTACGGAAACCACTCACAAAAGGCGGCAAGAAGAACGAGCTCCGTGAATTAGAAGGATTTCAGTGTAACTAAATAAATCACAACTGCGGTCATACATTTTAAAATATCATTAACGTTACCTTCTCCTGGGACAGGACCAGGCTCATCTTAGTCCGGTTTTTGTAAAATTACCACACACACAGCGTAACGTCTGATAAACCCCCAAACCACAAAAGAAACAGCTATGCTCTATTACCGACGCTTTCAAAGAATATCTGAGCAGTCATTTAAATAATAAAACTATAAATATACCACAGACTTAAACAAATTAAATAAATGTTTCTAGCCTCTCTCCCGCCCGCTCACTCAACCTAAAGAAATTTCAACTTTTCGCGCGCCGACAGACTCTCGCTCACAGAACGGATGTCACTCACTCGAGTTGTCCGAGATGATTGGACAGGTGCCCTTAGTCCCACCCTCCTGCCAACCACATAAGATTGTTTTTTTATTAGACGAACTCCAATGTACTGAGCCCGAATTGCTAGACAATTCACGTGACACGCTGGAGGCAAATCAGAGGCGACTAAACTGATGGCGCTTTAAATTTTTTCCCGTTGTTGTGTTCTGGGTGGCTGCAAAAAGTTGACTTACATTTGTCATTTTGACTATAGTGATGTCACTGTGTAGAAATAAAATTTATCACATATTTCTGCGTGCAGTTTGTTCTTTTTTCGACTCTGCAAGTACAAAACAAATTTTAACCGAGTTAAACGTTTTAATCACAAATAGTTAAATGTCATATTTTAACTGCTATTCACAAATATCTGCACCTTTCAGTTTAAACAATGAAAATCTTGCATTCAAGTCATAAATGTGTTAAAGCTACACACCTTTTGAACTACTGAACATTGTTTGAACTAGCTCCGACACTGCATCATTTCCTTTCATTGGTTCTGTCCCAAAATGGCAGTTACGATCCGGCAGCTGTGAATCCGCATGCTATCTTATGTCTTGTAATCTTACCAGGCACTTTCTAAATTGCATGTCCTAGAACCTCCAATGTTTAACAAAATAAACTCGTTATTCATATTATTCGTGTTGTCTTGAAACAAACCCACACCAATGTTTACATGAATTAACGCCGACATTGCAGTTCTGTTATCATTTTATCGGTTCCATTCCAAAATGGCTGTAGATGCGAAACAGTTTTGTTTATACGGTCAATTTATGTGTAGAAAAGGCGCGTTCAGGGGGGCATTTACGCGCCTCCATATTCAACTTCTAAAATAATAACTCATGAAAGGAATGCAAACCTCCATAAATTTCTAAATGTTGTTACACTAAATTTCTGCTAATTCCGGGTAGTTCATGGCTACCTTTAAGTCGCTCCGTTGTGCGCAAGCGCAGGGTGTGTGTCTCTAGCGGAGAGGCAGGGTACTTGTCCGGGAATTGAGTGCGCATGCTCAGTTGAAATCTCTACGGGATCTGCTTTAAATCACACAGAAGACGACGCTTCCCCCCAAACATCTTTGGACAACTTCACGTCCCTTCCCTTTCTTAAATTAGCCCCCCTAAGCTTCGAGATACCGCCCCCAATTTCAGTGTCGGTACGGAGCCGCCAGGCCGGGACAGAGACGGAGAGAGAGCCCTCGGCCATGGAAGCGCTCGGACCCGGTAAGCAGTCGGATGAAAGCCCCCGGGGTGTTTGGAGCAGCTCAGCGCAGCGTCTCGGTGTGGGCCGTGGATTGTAAGGCCTTGACGTCAAAGCAGGAAAAGCTGCTGTACCTCTCTAGGCCTGCCCGTGTGACGGATTGAAAACAAACCGCGGTGGCCTGTGCGCTAGCCGACAAAAATAATGACTTTATTCAAGCTGATACGTGAAATCCTTACAGATGGCGTATTGTGTTTATTTTCTGTAAGTGGTGTACTTTAATAATCAGCCATTTATATAACTAGAGAGGGAAAGTCATTGTGTGGGGATTTAAAGAAGCCATTCCTTCCGCGTCCTCCTGGGTTTTAAGATGGTCTGTTATTTGGGCCTCGAATATGAGTTAAATGTCATCCCGCTGAAATCTCAATGGGAGCCGAAAATGTATGATACGATGGATTTAAAAGCTGTATTCCTCTGTATGGGATTTTCAAGTAGCTGCACGCTATATTCTCATAAAAGTATACGAATGCTTCACTGGCCGTTTCCTTTCGCTTACACTACTTTTCTCCACCGGATTTCCCCCTTTTTGCATGTGTCAGTCCGGCGACTGTGCTGTCAGGTTTTGCGGTAGCGTCTAGCTAGCTGAGATGAGCGAGACGTGTCTCTGCGAAGGGATGGTCATACTGGTCCAGATCGCATGGTGGTTCTTCTGCTTGCCCTGATGATTCGTGCACCGCAGCGCAACACCCGAGGCTTCGTCAACGTCGAACTTGCACAAAGCAATCTAAAAATATGTTTCTCCGTGTCAGCAGCTGTCTGTATTTTAAGCCCTTTGCCATGCACATATGTAGAACGACGTAAGCTTGTTATGCAGCGCAGGATGCTGTTTCTTTGTTGTCACACGGTGTGTAAAATGTTAGACTCTGACTGCTGTGACTGATTGAGACGATTCCCCTTGATGTGTCAACGAGTCTGAGTGTCTCCCACATCAGTTAATTGTGTGACGATGATGTGAAGATCACGACATACGAAATTAAATATTTTAATAAAGGAAATGCGTCTCAAAGTTTTATTTTCAAACTAAGCTGTCGTTCGTGGGAGGCTGTCACCCTAGCACAGGTGCCGATGTGTGGGGGGGGGGGGGGGGGAATGTCGATTCTCGACGTCCTTTGTTTCGTCTTGTGAACAGGGGCGCTTGACATCATTTCCAGTACACAGGTGAACCACATAAAACCTGGAACCTAGAGCACAATATGCGCGTATTTATGATGTGTGTGTGAATAACGGAGACGTGTCGTTGGGAATTCTGATAGCATTTTACGTGTGCGGAGAGGTGATACCTGATGCTCGTGGGGGTTAGGCTGTAATTAAGTTACCTTAACTAGATTTTAGCCTATACCGGCAAACGAACAACATTTTTTAATTTTGCGGATTATAACGTCGAACTCGTAGCCATTGTAGACTTGATAACTGTTTTTTATAAGTACATTTTATTAAAGATGCCATTTGCGTCTCAATAAATTGCGGGCCAGTAAAGAACCTAGACAAAGCACGTAGTAACTTAAGCTGCCGCAACAGGAGGCTTCACTCTGATAGGCAAACATTTCTGGGTTATGGACGAAGAGGGTTTGTTTTTTTTATCCTATTAGTGTTTGTCCGCTTAATGTCTAGAATATCTGTATTCCAAAATGTAACATGGTTGGTGGTTAAGGGACGTCTATGAAGGGTTTTCAAATGTCATGATGTCTTTTTTTGTAGATGCTTAATATGTTGTCTTATTAAAACATTGAGTAGGATCTAGAAGGATGGATTTAAAATGGACATCTATACAAACATGGCTTGCTGTTTTCAGCAATGTGGTATGTTAAATGTAGACATGGTTAACAAACCTTTACCATTCCATAGTAAAAACAATTAGTTATAGGTTAAATGTTCTGCGATGCAAGGCTTACTGTAACAGCAAATTTAGACCTCAAATTTAATCGAAAAACGTGTGAGGTCTCCACACCTTTTTAAATCTAGGCGCTGTTGTCAGGAGAGTCTTTTGCATGCCTAATTTGAATGTGGTTTTGTTCTGTAGAAGTTCCACATGTTCTTGTTCAGGACTGGTTTGATGTGTCTACCCATACACAGGATTTTGTTTGGACTAAACAGGTGAACAACATACTATACCAAAAAATATGTGTCAATTGTAATGAGGTCCCTTAATGAACATAAGGGCTGATTGATGGGAGTAGACCTGTGATCTAGAAGGAGCCCAGCCCTCTTGCACGTTGAGAGGATGATCCATCAGATCAGCTGCCACAGGTTCATTCCTGTACCTTCCATTGGTCTTCGCTTGCATCCTCTGTCGTCTAGGTGATTAATGACCAGCATGACTTCTGTATTATGGGTGACATTGTGTCTGGTCACCTAGGCTTTGACATAATTGCCTATTGGTATTTAAATGCTAGAGATTGTTTATAATGCGCCTGTATGTGGCATGGAAATCTCTCTTCATAAAACCTAGAGCTGCCAGTTTTACGCGCTGTTAACTTCTATGTTTACAGTTGAATATTTAAGGATTTGTTTTTATTCCCCCTGCCCCGTACCAAAGAGTTGAGGGACAGAGTTAGATCTGTCTGTGTTTATATCAGGGGTCACCAACCTTTTTGAAACTGAGAGCTACTTCATGGGTACTGACCCATACGAAGGGCTACCAGTTTGAAACGCCCTCCTAAACTTCATGTATGATAAACATGTTTTAAATGCTTTTTTTCAGGTATTGTCATTTTCAAATCTATATAAAGGCAAATGTGGTTAAACAAGAATAGCAACAGGATAAAATAAAATTTTAGACGCTGCTCACTGGTGAGTTGTACTATTTTTAGATCAGTTCTGTGGGCAACTCATGTGGTCCTTGGGGGCATCCTGGTGCCCGCGGGCACCATGTTGGTGACCCCTGGTTGATATACACCTTTCCTGCAAGCAGGCACCAAATCTGCTGCTCCTTCTGCTACTTTAACTCTCTGAATGATGGAAAGTCCTTTTGTCGATCTGGGTGAGAATACAAACAGGTGCCTACATTTATTTTAAATCGTTTTTCTTTGGCAATGTGCCCTCACATCATTGAAATGTTTAGAGAGTGGTGCTTCTGGTTAGGATGTGGCCTGCAGTTTTAGATCATTGGAAAATCCTTCAGGTGTAGGAAAAACCACGTTTCAGTGATTGTCGATAAATCTTAGCTGTAGCATGGCTGCAAATGTGTGAAGGTTTATACTTTAAAAAAAAAAAAAAACTTTAAAATGAGGACTTTGGTGTAATGGAGTACATGACCTGCACCTTCAGGATCTCCACCTCCACAGCAGGTGAAGAGCATATTTATAGAGTAGGGTCCTGTTTTTTTTTTTTTTGTAAAACTGGGAGCTCTGTCTCTACACATTCCCATGCTGTGGCCCATTATGAGGACCTTCAATCCCCCTCTCATGCTGATGTTGTCCTGTTCCAGTGTATGGAGGTGGGGTTAGGGAAGTGGAGCAGGAGGGGGGTGTGGCTGGGTGTGTGTGTCTGGGTGTGTGTGTCTGTGTTCTCTCTCTTATGCCTCACTTGTTAATTGGAGCATGCTTGGATATGGTAGCCTGGACTCCATGTAAGCCCAGTGTCTTCCCACCTCAAAGAAGGTGTAAGTTCAGATACAGTGTGCTCTGGCAGTCTGGTCCTGCACAGGCTGAAGCTCTGCTAATGAAGTCTGTTTGTGTATAGAGCACAGAAGTGGTAGTGTAGAGCAATAGTTGGGTCAGAACCTTAACATCCTCTTCCCCCTTTCCTGTTCAGGTGCCCAGTAAACCCGAGTCCACCTCAGTTCCTGTGTCTGTCCAGCACCACCACAAATTTACAGCCCCCCCCTTTGTATGCATTTTCCAAGTGGCAGTCAGTGTGTCAGAGGTGGGGGGGGGATGTTTATGGTGCATGCGTGTCCATGCACTGTTAATCCCCCTCTCGCATGCTCGGTCTGCTCCATCTAGACATGTTCTTGTGTGTCTCCGACATCCTGGCTTTATCTTAAGGGCCTCGATGCACTGCTTTTAATTGTTTTAGTTCCTTGCTGGGTCAGGACAGCATTGTATTGTTTCAGCTTTGGCATTGTGTGGTGAAATGCGGTTTGCCAAAGGTGGCGTGTCTGTGAGAGAGAGAGAGAGAGAGAGAGTCAGTGGACGGGCAGTGAGGCTGCTCCGTTATGTGTGGTGTGGCTTTCTGCTATGATTCCTCTTCCAGATCATATCCCAGCTGCTGTAGATTATTACCATAAATAATGTACGTGTTTTGCAAATTGCTTGTGTTGTAATACCACCTGTGCGTTTCTCTCTTTCACTCCAGGCCCACCTACTCCTACCTCCCTCTTCCAGCCCCCACGGCGCCCTGGCCTTGGCACAGTGGGCAAGCCCATCCGCCTGCTGGCCAACCACTTCCAGGTGCAGATACCCAAGATTGACGTCTACCACTATGACATCGACATCAAGCCGGAGAAGCGACCTCGCCGGGTCAACAGGTAACTGGCCCGGGCTGCGTGGCAGGGAGCGGATTTTAAACTGTGGCCTGGTTTCCTTGGCCGAAGTGCCAGATGCGTAATGGAGTCATGGAATGGCGATTTAGTGAGTGGTTAGCTGTGATCGGTGGGCGGGTCTCTCTCAGTCGGCTTGTTTTGCAGAGAGGTGGTGGACACCATGGTGAGGCATTTCAAGATGCAGATTTTTGGGGACCGGCAACCGGGCTATGATGGCAAGAGGAACATGTACACAGCGCATCCACTGCCGATTGGACGCGAACGGGTGAGTAAGGAGGAGGCCCGGCACATCCTGCCGTCGCCTCGCTGACCTCCTTGTTCTGTTTGTGCCCCACTGGTGTCCACCAGCTCCATTTTGTTCTTTTAGAATCCCCGTTTTGAAGTACTGTGAGTTTTGTCATAGCCTGAGGCAGGTATGTCTAATTCAACCCGTTAACTCGCAGGCCTGCGGGGCTGAGAAATAGCTGTTCAGGCATCTTCATTCTCGTTCTTTGTCTAGGCTCTGATCTGATCCTTGTTTGTGGTCAACCTTGGCCCTTGGATGCTTTATTGAAGGTCATTTGTCTGAGTTATTGGTTGTACTGCTTGAGGTTGTTTTTAGTGTGTAGAGTAGGCATTGGGGGTCATTATTATGGAGAGAAAAAAAGTGAAGTGTATGTCCAAGGTGAAATTACCACAAATAGGGTTAGAGCATTGAGGAAAAGGAATCGGGTGAAACACACAAAGGTTTGAACTAAAAGGAGTCTTGGAAATACTGCCTTAGCCTGATTTATTTACAGTACATTGTAAACCAAATATGATAAGTAAGCTGAAGCCTTGTGTGCCAGCGACCACTAGGATCCTGCAATTTCCTGTAACTGTCACTGGCTACCAGACATGCATTTGACACATCTTGCAATTAGTAGTATTTCCACTTAATGTAGTATAGATTCGAACATTGAGGAGCAGTTCTCTGTCCAGAATACAGTGGGGGCTTTTTTTTAACTTTATTTTGTGATGATTAATGAGTTATATACTGCTGGAATCATGATGTATTTAATAAAATAAGTACAGTCATGACATTAGAAGAAGAGGTAGTTCACATCAGTCCCCTGTACGATTGTGCTCTCCGCTTCTTTTCTCTGATCATTAGGTGGACTTGGAGGTGACGCTGCCTGGGGAGGGGAAGGACCAGACCTTTAAGGTCTCCCTGCAGTGGGTGTCCGTGGTCAGCTTGCAGATGCTCCTGGAGGCGCTGTCGGGCCACCTGAACGAGGTCCCCGAGGACTCTGTGCAGGCCTTGGATGTCATCACCCGGCACCTGCCCTCCATGAGGTACGGCGCGTTCAGACCCCAGACTGCTCCCGTCCTCCGACTGGGCGTGGCCTCCCGTGTAGTGCTGACTCCCCGTTTGCCTGGGCAGGTACACACCTGTGGGCCGCTCCTTCTTCTCCCCACCGGAGGGATACTATCACCCCCTTGGTGGGGGCCGCGAGGTGTGGTTTGGTTTTCATCAGTCAGTACGGCCAGCCATGTGGAACATGATGCTCAATATCGACGGTGAGAGCCTTACTGCCCCAGCCTGCATGTCGCTGTAAGAGTGTGACAAATGGCTTCACACTAAGGAGCTTAAGAGTGGCTGTCCAGGGAAGGCCGTAAAGATTCTCTGCACATTTGTGCTTTTTATTTAACGGGGACTTTGACAGATTTGCTGCACATAATGCATGAGTGCGAAGCCTGTCCTCCTGTCTTGCAGTGTCAGCCACGGCCTTTTACCGCTCCCAGCCTGTCATCGAGTTTATGTGCGAGGTGCTGGACATCCAGAACATCAATGAGCAGACCAAGCCGCTGACTGACTCGCAGCGTGTCAAGTTCACCAAGGAGATTCGAGGTTAGGGGGAAGTGCTGTCAGTCAGTGCTGTTGCCTTGCAGAGTGAGCCAGCAGCTACGAGTATATATATTTCTCTCTCTCTCTCTCTCCTCCTCAAAAGCTAGTGATGCCTATAGTATGTTTCTGTTAATGTGATAATTAGGGTGTTTGTTCCCTCTTTCCGTATTTTATTATCCTCTGTGCTCCCTGTGGGTGGATTGGTGGCTCTGAGGCTAGGCATCTGTTCCAGTAATTGGAAGGTTGCTGGTTCGAATCCCATGAATGCCACGAGTGATCCTACTCCGGTGGGCCCTTGAGCAAGGCCCTTAACCAGCAATTACTTCATCCTGGGTATGACGTTAATCTACATGCAGCCCTGTAAGGAGATCCTTCAATGTACAGGGAAATTTGGGGGTTGGTTGCAGGATTGGCATTCCAGCCGCTGAAAAATCTGACACTGGTCCACTGGTGCTGAGGTATCACCCACTGCACGGCTGCACTCAGGTTCTCATCCCTGAGGTGGTTCCCGTGTGGTGGGTGCGGTAATGCGCTGTAATCAGCGTGCGCTCCTTGATGTTCCCCACCACCTGACACTTCAACGACAGTCATATCTTGCACTTCTTCTGAACTCCAGGGCTGAAGGTGGAGGTGACGCACTGCGGCCAGATGAAGAGGAAGTACCGCGTGTGTAACGTCACCCGTCGGCCCGCCAGCCATCAGACGTACGTGTTCGCCCCCTTAAAGGAGCCTCCTCTGTGCGGCGGCCATCTTGGTGTTAATTTTTTTGTGGTATTATCCAGACGTTTGGTGTACTGCTTTCTGGGGGGTAATTCCACGAAGCCGGACTGCATGCTTAGCCGGATAACTTGTCAGGTTTAAGGTAGTCTGGGTTAAATGGACATTATCTTCATTCACTTATGTTCAGTGGGGTGGGGGGGGCAGTGGATGGGGGCTAAGACCATTGTGCCCATGCGCAGATTCCCGCTGCAGCTAGAGAACGGACAGGCCATGGAGTGCACAGTGGCACAGTACTTTAAGCAGAAGTACAGCCTGCAGCTGAAGTACCCACACCTGCCCTGCCTGCAAGTGGGCCAGGAGCAGAAGCACACCTACCTACCCCTGGAGGTCTGTCCCCTTCAAGCTCCTGTGCTTAACTTTCTGTGCATGTATGTGTGTGTATATATATATATATTTTTTTTTTCTTTCTTAATCTGTTGCTTCGAACTCCTCCTCGCAGGTTTGTAACATCGTCGCCGGACAGCGCTGCATCAAAAAGCTCACTGATAATCAGACCTCCACCATGATCAAAGCCACCGCGCGCTCGGCTCCCGACAGACAGGAGGAGATCAGCCGACTGGTGAGTCCTACCCCCTGGTGGCAGGAGGCTAAATTCTGCAGCACTTATCATGAATGCCCCCATTTAGACTTTTGCATTTATTTAAATAAATGTCTGTAGTACATTTATAGCAGATTTGTTTGCTGGAGCTGTGCCAATTAGATCCACCAGCAAGACCTCTTCCAAATCACCAGTCCAATCCTTAAGCTCCTTTGCTTTCTACTAGCTTTATAGATAACATTATAGATGTATAAACTTTTTAGATATTTTAGATACACCTGCTCTAGTTCTTCAGTAGGGACAACAGACTTGAACACAACATGGATTTATCCCGAGCTCTTTTTCATCTGCAGCCTCTGCTCGTCTTTTATCCCCTTTTGTCCCACGCTGACTTCTCAATGTCATTCCCAGGTCAAAAGTAACAGCATGGTGGGCGGGCCCGACCCTTACCTGAAAGAGTTTGGCATCGTTGTGCACAATGACATGACGGAGGTGACTGGGCGGGTCCTCCCAGCGCCCATGCTGCAGTACGGGGGCCGGGTGAGTACAGACACTGGGAGGGACTGTGGCAGGGTGAGTACTGGGGCACGGGATAGGGTGAGTAAGGGTGGGGGGCGGGGTCACGCACGTGAGTGACTGCTGAATGGACAAGTAATATTCAAGGGGAGGGGAATACGACTCCGCACAGCAGTTCGTCCTTAACAGCTCTTTCAGATGCGGGAAAACTCCATTATTCAGGATGATGCTTTGAAGAGGTGCTGTGCCACACAAGCCAGTGTCCTGTAAGATGTGGAGATCAGGCTGCTGGAATCTGATCTCAGGGAAAAGATCTCATCTCGTTGCATAGTTAAATTTGTGTTAGGGCTGATTTTGTGGCTTCCCCATTTTTAGTCTTCAGGGGTCTAGTTTGCCCGTTGTTTACTAACTGGTACTGAAGCGTTTGTCTGGGCTGCGGTCATCCCCGGAGTCCTAGGAGCTGCTCGGACTGCTGTGTAATGGAGCCTCATTGTCGCCCCCTGGAGTGGCTGGAGTTGATGGCAGTTTTGTGCAAGATGCCTTTGGTTGTTTCACATGTGTGGTGTGTAGGCTGGGCTCACTTCGGGGTCTCTGCGTCTACCTGGGCTGCTGGTATTACTGCCAGGGCCAGTTCCTGTTACTGACTGGGCAGAGCCTCTGGCACTGGGTCGTGGCTCAGCCATGGTGCAGCAGTAGTATCTGTAACAAATGTGGATTTCAACCAGATGGGGGGGGGGGGAAACAAAAAAACAAAAAATAAAAAACAGCGCAGTGGAGTAGCCCATCCTAGACCTCCCTCTGGATTTTATATCTTGTAATTTTTGAGTGAGAATGAATTGCCAGTTTTTGTGTATGCAGTGCTGTAAATTAATGTTAATGCAAAAGTGATTCATAGTTCATAATGCACAGACTGTTGACACTGCAGTTGTGTTTCTTTTAATATAGAAAACTTTTGGGGGGAGGGGTTGTGGGTATCTTATTAATCACCCTCCCACCCCACCCCCCCATCAGTGTTCACTCCTCATTTTCCCTGGGGCTCTGTTGGGGCTTGGGAGGGGGTTTTGAGGTTTTTACCTGAATCGATGCTGTTTAAGGTGGGCTGCTTTGTCAGTGATGCTCACGCAGTGGCTGAGGGGTCCGCTAAGAGATCAGCGACTCTCTTCACAGAACAAGACGGTGGCCACGCCTAATCAGGGTGTGTGGGACATGAGGGGCAAGCAGTTTTATGCTGGCATTGAGATCAAGGTTTGGGCCGTTGCCTGCTTTGCCCCTCAGAAGCAGTGCCGCGAGGATCTGCTGAAGTGAGTGGCTGTCCTGTCACCCGCCACTGCGCCACAGCACGCCCGCAGGGCAGCATGCCAACATTCCACCATTAATCCCATCCTGAGTAAAACCCTGGAGCGTATCACACAGTGCACTGCTTGCTGTGCTTTCCCCCCCCCCCCCCCCCAGCAGTGACAATTTAAATGTAACTACCCAGACTTATGACGCTGCCCTCTGCTGTCATGTAAAATCTCCTATGTCACTTGCCCTGATTAGGACCAGGGGCCTGTTTTATGAAGCCAGATTTCTTGTTTAGCTGGATAACTTGTGAGATTTAAGGTACTCCAGTTTAATTGGACTTTATTTTCGGTGACTTGTATGTAGCCCAGACTGCCTTAAATCCGCAAAGTTATCCAGCTAAGCAAGAAATCCTGCTTTGTGATCTTTAGTACTTTTTCTGTTTTGATAAGTTCTGGAGAATTTACTGTAAAGTGTTTTGCATCCCCGTAAATGTATCTTTTGCTTCCACTGTCTCGGCCACGTGATATCATTTGTTTAAACCTTAAATGCCCTTTTATATGCATTTTTTTTAACCACACCTTTACCTTAAATGACCAAATACACATTCCCACAACCTTTTAGTCTGTGAATCTGTCTTGTAACTTGCTGACAATGGCTGCGGGACCTCCTTGTCGAGGAAAGCGATTCCATCATGAAATGATCTCTGTCCACCTCAGGAGCTTCACCGATCAGCTTCGTAAAATATCAAAAGACGCGGGGATGCCCATCCAAGGCCAGCCCTGCTTCTGTAAGTACGCCCAGGGCGCGGACAGCGTGGAGCCCATGTTCAAGCACCTGAAGATGTCCTATGTGGGTCTGCAGCTCATCGTGGTCATCCTGCCGGGGAAGACGCCGGTGTACGGTGAGAGGAAGCAGCGCTCCGCCACTAACACTGGGTGTTAAAGGCCCAAAGCATGAAGTCTGGAGCTAGTGTAGCTCACTATCAGATACCCATGGATCTGTCGTTAAATGGTGTGCATCTTAAGAGCCTTTTATTGGTGTCGAAGCACTACAGCTCATCTTTACATGTATTTAACTTTGTACCTGAACCCCATCAAAGTCGTTAGTGCTTTGTTTTCTGTGTGGAATTTGGGTGGGTCGTTGAACATGAAGTCAGGGGGCCAACTGGCAAATAAATATTGGTTCTTGTCTTTTGTATTCAGCTGCTTGACCCTTTGCTGTTTGACCCTTTGCTACCACCCCCCCCCCCCCCCCCCCCCCCCCCCCCCCCCCCCCCCCACAGCTGAGGTGAAGCGTGTTGGGGACACTCTGTTGGGCATGGCTACCCAGTGTGTCCAGGTGAAAAATGTAGTGAAGACCTCTCCCCAGACGCTGTCCAACCTCTGCCTGAAGATCAACGCCAAGCTGGGTGGCATCAACAATGTGCTGGTGCCCCATCAGAGGTGTGTGCATGTGCCTGCCGTTTTAGGAGAGTGCGTTTGTCTCTGTTCATGCTCCTGTCTCTGTTCCTGTGCGTGTATCTGTGTGCACGCCTGTCTGTCTGTCTCTCTCTGCACGCCCGTCTGTCTCTGTTTCCGTACGTGTTCCCATCCATCCGCCTCTGTCACTATCCGCGTGCCCGTCTGTCCGTCCGCCTTTGTCACTATCCGCGTGCCCGTCTGTCCGTCCGCCTCTGTC